AATAGACTGGGAAGGAATTTACCTTGCTCTAGAGAAAGGTAGCTCACAGTCGGTTAATTTAGAAGTAGCTGCGACTAGCATAATAATATGATGACAATGATAGTTAATCATCACAATCTCATGTCATGAGACGTGAAAACAATGTAAGTACTAGAAAAAAATAATTTCCAAATAATACTTTCCTCAATCAAAAATGAATTGGAAGATAAGTCGATAGAATCTAGATAGTGTAATTTTAATAATAAATTTACACACCACATTTTTTTTTTAAGTAAAACGTTGCCCCACACTAGGATTATCTCCTGTGTCGTGGGTGCGTTTACAAACATACAAGATCACATACACATGACACCCAGACCCGAAACAACAATTTGTAAATCACACAAAGTGTAGTTCCGTGCGGGACTCGAACCCGCGACACGTTGCACGGCAGCCGGTTGCCCAGTCACCGCACCAACTGTGCAGTCAACAACAGCAGTATATGCTGGAAAAAAATTGCATTGTAACACCTTTTGTACCGTATTTTAGCAAATAAAACATTTTTGATTTGATTGATTTAATTTGAAATTAATTATTTCCACTGTTAAATAACACTTTCATTAATTGATTTTATGACCAACTTAATTTTACTATTTTTCCACCATTTTTTTAAGAAATAAGTTGCTGTTTGACACTAAAATAACATGACGTCACAATTCATAATCTCGGACAAAAATCAGAGAAAACTCTCGCTTTTGACAGTTCGAAAAAAGTACCTACTTATAACAGAAAGTACAAAATTATGTTAATTTATTACATTTAGGTAGTTTACGTTTAGTGATGACGTCAGTGTTCATGTTATTGCATGCGCAATGCACAGCTACCTCGGTGTACCTACATCATTAAAATTAGCTAGAGGTCGTACAACCATTTGACTGAGAAGGTAAGTTAAAAAAGAGGTTTTGTTTCGAATGGTTTTTTTTATTAACTGCATTCGAGTTAACAACATACCTATTTTTGCAGGAAGTGTTTTTTAGTCAGAACCTGACAATCCCTCCCGCCTCACCTAGGCGGGAGAAGCCATTCGATGATTTTTCACCCTAAAAAATAAAAGAATAAAAAAAACCCAACAGCGTCTCATTGGTCGAGTGTTAATAGGTGCAAATACCAAGCAAGAGGTCTTGCGTTTCATTTTACAGTCGGGGAAAGCATTTACCTTCCTATCGTCGTTTTAATTTATAAAAAAAACAACAACAAACTCAGGCGTGGTCATTCTTATGATAATTATAATTTGTGGATTTGGCGAAGATTTGTCCATAATTGCTTAGGGCTTTAACATAGGGCTCACAATACCTTAGACATCAACACATCAACTGCCTATAAGTGGCCACTGCTGACTAAAGGCCCCTTCTCACACAGAATCGGTTCTTAAAAGAAAATATTAACCACCACGCTTACTCAATGTGGGTTGGTGATTTCAAACTTATAAATAAATCGGAAATTGTAAGCCCAGCCCTCACGATGTTTTCCTACCGTTGAAAGACATCATGTTCGAAGGTTATAAAGAGTAAATTGACAAAATATGAAATTCAAAATAGGCCTAAGTACTTTAAAAAATGTTCGTAGTAATATTGAATTTGAACTTTGTCGATTTGTCAATATTTATTATAGTGTTACCATGGAACTAAGTGTCATTCTATCTAAAAATATAAACGTAGGTTTTATACACGTATTGTTTGTCGAAAAAATACAAAAGGTACAGAGAAATTGATGAAATCTGTTACACACTGAGTCTTTTGTTTTAATTACATTTCCTGTCTCAGGTCTACTGGAAGAAATTCCAACAGGAATAAGTAGCACCTTTGTACTCTTATTTTATATAAATGTTATCCTCTGTGCTGTTTGTGTGTACATAAATTATTAAATAAATAAATAAATAAAAAAGGACAAAAAAAATAAATCTGCCAGGTAGACGTTATACATATAAGTCGCAGAGAACCTAACGGGTTACCGGGGCTCCGGCTCGACGTGCAGGAGTAGGAACGGGGTGGTTTTTAGTCAGTAAGAGTCTGACACTCCCTCCCGCCTCACCCAGGCGGGAGCAGTAATTCGATGATTTACCCCCTTAAAAAAACGACGTTATATAAGAATGAATTTGTGATATAGGAGGATGATAGAAGATTTTTTTTTAAAGCTATGGGAATCCTCGTGTGCCTACTTCCCACGTCGTGGGGACGATGGTGAGGCGTGTTGGAGTCTTACCGGCTAAAAGCACCGCGGTGTTTCTCCACTGACCCGGGTTGCCCTTACAGAATCACCACATCCGGCAGGGCTGGACCTATTTCTGCAGTATCTGGGTAGGCAGCTGAGATGGTAAAAGAAATTTGGTGCAAACTCCAAGTAACCTTGGATTTGGATAGGCAAGATACGGAAGATCATAATGAAAAATTACAAATAAATTAAGTAAACAAAACATTGTACACAGGCAGATACATACAACCATAGAACAAATCACACAACCATAGAATATTTGACAATTCTTTGCTACTAAAAACTGACAATTTTGTTCCACATTTAAGAATTACCTGATGATTGAAAAGTCGGCCATCGAGAAATAATACCACGGACACTCTTTGCTAATTTGCTTTTAGGTGTTAGAGACTAGCTATCGCAGGTGCAACAAATGAACTGCAAAATTAATAAATGTATTCACTACCTCTATAAGAACATCATCATCGCCTATAAGTGCCCATTGCTGAGCAAAGCCTCTTCTCACACGGAGAAGTTTTTATCATTAATCACCACGCTTGCTCAATGCGGGTTGAAGATTACAAACTTATAATAAGAAATTATAAGCCCAGATTTCCTCACAATGTTTTCCTTCACCGTTTGTCAGTGGTGTCTAGATAATCTTAGAAAGTATATATAACTCGGAAAAAGTCACATTGGTACTTGTCATTGGTAGGTTTCGAACCACAGAACATTTGGAACCCTCTCATGCATGAGAGCTGGGCGTCTTAAACCTCTGGGCTACCACGACACATTAACTATAACTATAAGTACATATCATATGGTAATATTAAAAATAATGTGGAAAATTAATAAATTTTCCGCTTACAATCAATTGACTAATTAATTTTCCGCTTTTATATTGATTTTTCTTCATCGATAAAAATTGTTCATTATTTTAACTGGATATTATTCCAATGGATAATGATTATTAGCTTCTGCCCGCGACTTTGTACGCGCAATCCCGTTTCTTCCATTCCCGTAGGATTTTCAGGACTTTTTTCTGTCCTAAGATCTTCTCCTGATAATAACAAACACAACAAAAAAAAAAATCTGCCAAATCGATCTAGCCGTTCTCAAGTTATGGCGTGACAAGGGGAAACGGGTTTCATTTTTATATACATACTAAAGCGGACCTGACAGACTCTATCCTGCATATAATATAATAATAGGTTTAGATAAATAACCTTTTTTTTTTATTTATTTTTTTTTTTTTTTAAGTCGGGAAAATCATCGAATGACTGCTCCCGCCTGGGTGAGGCGGAAGGGAGTGTCAGACTCTTACTGACTAAAAACCACCCCGTTCCTTCTCCTGCACGTCGAGCCGGAGCCCCGGTTACCCGTTAGGTTCTCCGCGACTCCGAATCGGCATCGGCCCTAATGGGCCCCATCTGTGGTGGTCTGATGGCTCTTTGAGGCGCGCGCGGTACGCGACGCGCCGTACGCTCGGGTCTGTTTCTGGTCGGACGGGGAGCCACCCATGCTCGCCGTCCGCAGGCCCGCGCTTACGGTGGCCGGAGATCGTCCCGCGATCCCCGACGCCCGGTGTGTCCTTCGCGATGGCTGGGTTGCGAGGAGGCAGCGCTTCGCTGCCTCACGCGTCCCGCCTCCTCCTTAGCTAGCATGACTGCTTCGCAAAAGGATGAGACGGCATCCCAGTCCCCCTCGCTCCGCATCATGGCCTGCACTAGGCCCGGACGCGAGAGGTCGCCATCGCCGATCACTTCCCTGAGGGCACGGCGGTGCTCAGCCCACGCAGGGCATTCTCCCACTGTGTGTTCCACCGTGTCCTCAGGGCGGTCCTCGCAGTGATGACACCCGGGCGTTTCCTCCCGCCCCATCAGACACAGGTACCTCCCGAAACTTCCATGTCCGGTGAGGACCTGCGTCAGGCGGTAGGTGAGGACGCCGTAGCGTCTCTCAAGCCACTCCTCAAAGAGGGGACTTACCGCTGCAATGGCAGCGAGCCCAAGATAAATAACCTAGAGACCGTCTGCAGCGCCATCTGCTGATCCGGGCTGATTTGTGAATCTAAACCATCCAGGGCGCCACTCAAACGCGTATAGAAAAATTCATTTAAATCGGTCAAGCCGTTAAGGAGGAGTGCAATGACATACACACGTACATCAGAATTATATATATAAAGATATAGAATATATAGATGAGGTTGTCATAAAACATGGGACACTGTTCTGAACTTCAGAATACGAGGAAAAAAAATATCGTCTTACATATTTTTTTCGCAAGTAAATAAAAAAACACACTTGGTATATTTTTTTTTAGTAGTTCAGGATCTAATTGGAGTATGAAAAAAATCGCGAGCGATTCAATTTTTAGGGAGAAGTCTCCCAGACACCTAAGATTTTTAGTAAAAATGGAATCGCTCGCGTTATTAGTTATCGAGATAATACAAGTGTCCGGCGTTAGGTGCCGTCCGGCGTTACGGGACATTCCCCCTAATTTCAAAGTAATTTGACCAGGCTAAAAAGTCCAAAATGACAAATAGGCACCATTTCACATTACCAACACAATAAAAAAAAATTAAAAATGCAAATTTATGAAACGTAGTTCGTTCCTCCAAACGTAACCTCGCGGGTAATGTGAACGCTACTTTATATGTGTCAAAATGAGTTTATGTATTTAAATTATGCAGTTAATATAAAACTGAGGAAAAGTCTCCCAATCACTCAGTACGTGTGAACTCTTTGCAGTGTAATCATTATTTAAAAAAAATGGAAAAATTGAATCCATGCCCAATTTTGGAGTTCAATGACAATCAGTTGTTGAATGTAAGGAAAAGTTTTGGTTACGACGATATACACAGGTTGAAACAAGATGTGGATCATTTACAGGATTGGATCAACCAACAACCCCATTTTAAGTTAAAGGAATTTGGTAAGTTTTGTATTGTGTTTTTGTAAATAGCTTATTATTTTAAGTGGCAATATATATATGTTGGTTCAAAATTACTTAACATGACATCACGCCTTTTTATCCCGCAAGGGGTATTTTTTACATTACGATACTTAATGCCACTGTACAATGTAACACCCATTTTTCACTATTTGTGTTATGAGTCCCATGTAATAGGGCCTATTACAATATACCGGGCACAATTCCAGACTCCGTGCTACTACTGAGATTTTTTTATAAAACACATTAATACTTTGCACGACCTGGGGATTGAACCCGAGACCTCTTGCCCAGCAAGCGCACTTGCGACCACTCGGCCAACGAGGCAGTCGTCTGTTGGCTTTCTATGTTACATTATACATTAAGATGCAGTTGGTAATTGCTAATCATGGCGTAATTCACTAATATAATTAATTTTTAACCGACTTCAAAAAAGGAGAATATCAGTTTGACCTGCGTTTATGTATGTTTGTACGCAATTGTCTCGCAATTGGCTGACCGATTTTGATGCGGTTTTCAGAAAAGAGTTTGTTACAATTAGGAGAAGGTTTTGGTATATTAATTACCCGACTTCAATAAATATGGGGTTGGTCGCGTTTTTTAACATAGTTTATAAAATAATTTATAAAAGACTGCCTCGTTGGCCTCGGGGTCTCGGTTTCAATTCCCGGGTCGGCCAAAGTATAAGTAAAAGTATTACTGGGTTTTTAAAAATCTCAGTAGTAGCACAGACTCTGAAAATGTGCCCGATATATGGCAATAGGCTCACCCCCTATTACATGGGATTCACATAAATAGTGAAAAGTGGGTGTTACATAATGTGCACCTCTGCCTCTTCGGGGATAAAAGGCGTGATGTTATGTTGTTTATGTTTGTATATAAAAGAATTATTTTTATTTATATAGTAAATTCTTTGAACTTTGTTTCTTCGATAATTTACTATATTGTAATTGTCATTTTCTAGTTCGTGAAAGTTATCGATACCTACATTTTTAATAACTTTAAAACCATTTTGAGACTGTGCTCTCCTATAAATATTACCTACATGAAATTCAACATTTTATAAAAAGAAAGTTACAAGTGAAGTCAACAATAAAAATCAGAACAACACCATTTATTAAACATACATTAATGTACTATTTTATTGCCTCACACTAAGATTTTTTCCTGTATCGTGGGTGCGTTAACAAACATACGAGTTCACATACACATGACCCCCAGACCCGGTACAACAATCTGTGGATCACACAAAGAGTTGTCCCGTGCGGGCATCGAATCCGCGACACGTTGCACGATAGTCAGTTGCCCAGCCAACTCGTCAACAGTATAGTCGTCATCTATCTGTTGTTCTATAAGGCAAACAAACACATTTTTATTTTAACTTTAATTACAGATCGAGACTTTCTGGAGCGCTACCTCATCTACTGCAAAGGGTCCATCGAGAGAGCGAAGCAGCGCTTCGACAAACTATGCACTTACACCAACCAGATGCCAGAGTTCTTGAGGAATTTTGACATCAGAAATGAGTTCATTGGACTTAATAGAGCAATGTACGTAGCTAACTGATTTTTTTTAAGTGTGGGAGAGCCATGCTTCTGCACGAATGGGCCGGCTCGACCGGGAGATACCACAGCCTCACAGAAAACCGACGTGAAGCAACGCTTGCGTTGTGTTTCGTCGTGTGAGTGAGGTTCCCGGAGGCCCAATTACCCTCCCCTTCCCTAATCTCCCCAATCCCTGAATCCCCAACGATCCTCAAACTCGTAATCCCCAAAAGGCCGGTAACGCACTTGTAATGCCTCTGGTCTTCCAGGTGTCCATGGACGATGCCGATTGCTTACCATCAGGTGATCCGTCTGCTCGTTTACCGGCTTACGACATAAAAAAAACATTACACGTGGAATTGTTATTAAAATGTTTGCTTTCTGCTCCTAGATTTGGTATAGAATAGGTAAATTTCCAAAATTTTTATTTAAAAAAAATTAAATACTTTAAAATACCAACCAGCCTATCTGGAAGTCAATAGGGGAGGCCTATGTTTAGCAGTGGACGCCCTGTGGCTGATTAGATGATGATGATGATGAATTTTTTTTTTCATAATACTTTGCCCCACTTATGGATTTTCTCCTGTGTCGTGGGTGCGTTTACAAACATACAAGTTTACATACACATGACACCCAGACCCAGAACAACAATCTGTGGATCACACAAAGAGTTGTTCCGTGCGGGAATCGAACCCGCGACACGTTGCACGGCAGCCAGTTGCCCAGCTACCGCGCCAACCTTGCAGTCGCTACCAAATACTACAAATATGTACAAATACCGACCAAATACTTTCGACGATTAATTTGAAATATCACGTGACGTCACAGGATGCTACATTTTGTCGCACTTTGTGACGTACCTCCCACTCCATTTTATCTACATATTGTAAGTTTATACGAGAAAATAAAAAATACGTGTCGAATATTTTTTCATTATCTAACTGACGGACTAATTAGATTTTTAATTTTCATTCTCTGGCAACTACCCTATTAATAACAGTGGGATTAATATTCCAAGCTGGTGAAGTTTTTCTCATAGAATCATAAGTTATTTTTTCTACTTCCGTCAGGGTTTCTAGATATTTTTCTCTCCTGAATAGTTTCTATTGAACAGTTTCTTTTTGAAATAATTAAATGGCTTCCGTAAAGACGATGCAGTTATAAGACAACTTTTAGTTTTTATTATAACATCACGCCTTTTAAACCTCCACCTCTGCAGCCTCGAAGTGGTATGCAGAGGTGCACATTATACTACTGTACAATGTAACACCCACTTTTCACTATATTTATGTTATGAGTGCCATGTAATAATGGGAGCCTATTGCCATATACCGGGCACAGTTCCAGACTCCGTGCTACTACTGAGAATTTTTTAAAAACCCAGTAATACTTTGCCCGACCCGGGAATCGAACCCGAGACCCCTTGCCCCGCAGTCGCAATGAGGCAGTCATGAGTTATTATCTATATAGATAAATAAAATTGGATTGCTATTTGTAATACTAAAATAACCGCTTTTTACTACATGTATATGAATATACATACGACACACATACCAAAATAACATTTTAACAATTTTTGTTTGTCTATCTGTCTTTCTGTTTGTACTGACTAATCTCTGGAATAGCTGGACCGATTTTCCAAGACTTTTTTTGGCAAATAGCTGATGTACTCAGTAGTAACATACCTAAACTGCTTTTATTTTTAAGAACTAAAACAAAAAAAAAATTAAAATTGGTATTCTACGCGAACAAAGTCACGGGCAACAGTTAGTACTTAATGTAATTAATAAAGACTACAAATATGGCCTTACGTTTTCGAAATATTAATATAATTTTTTTTACAACCGGTCCTATTTACTTTTCCTTATTGAATTTGCAAAATAAACAAAGTATGCGCGGCAAGCAATACCCTTCCTTCAATCGGGTAAAAGTGACTGAGTTTACCTCAAGCCTTGAAGTACCTATCGGGCCTAACCTTGGTGCAAGTGCAAAAAACACTGCGTTAAAGGAAAGATTTTGAATTTTTATAATTTTGCATTTATTATGTATGATTGATTATTTATCTCAGACAACATCATTATGCAACACAATGAGGTGTCTGGTTTGAAGTGAAATATTAAACTGAAATAGGTATATTTACTTTACGCTGCCTAGACTGCCTCGTTGGCCGAGTTGTCACAAGTGCGGCAAGGGGTCTCGGGTTTGATTCCCGAGTCGGGTAAACTCGGGCATTACTGGGCTCACCCCCTATTACATGGGACTCATAAGATAAATAGTGAAAAGTGGGTGTTACTTCTGTGTGCACCTCTGCCTACCCCTTCGGGGATAAAAGGCGTGATGTTAGGTTATGTTACTTTACGCTATGCTTTTCTCTTGTCAACTCCTAAAGTAGTGTATTTTATCTACCTCTAAATATTTGTAACGCTTCGTTATTAAAACTGTTAAACTAAAAAAACAAACTCAGAGGTTAGGAGGCCAGGAGACCCATAACACAGGCTCTGCTTAGTACGGGCTCCTGTCTCCCATGAATGGTTGAATTATAGAAATATTTTTGTTAAAAGTTTGTTGTTACTTACCTAAAATATGAATATGAGAAGGTTTGAGCATTAGGTAATCACCACGCTTGCTCAATGTGGTTTGACGATTTCAAACTTTTAATTAGAAATTATAATCCCAGGTTGCATTACGATGTTTTCCTTCATCGTTTGTCAGTAACATCTAGATAATCTTAGACAGTACATAACTCGGAAATAGTCACATTGGTACGTTTCCGAGTTATATAATTATAATATATATATCGTTGGTAGGTGACGAGCCCGCACTCTCATGCATGAGAAGCAGGCGTCTTAAACCTCCGGGCCACCACAATAGATAAATTAATTGATTAAATCTCTTGCAATGTTTCAGTCGCACCTGCATACTGCCGAAGCCTACTGCCGACAACTATCGAGTTATTGTATCGACTGTGACTGGAGAAGATGGCGAACTATTTGATCTGATGGAGTATTACAGATACTTAATAGTGGTAAATAAAGTTTCCTATCATTATTATTGTATCTATAAATATGCTTATTAATATTTATTTATGGGATAAGTCGGTAAACAAGCAGACGGATCACCTGATGGCAAGCATATGAATGACTGCACAGTTGGCGCGGTGGCTGGGCAACTGGCTGCCGCGCAACGTGCCGCGGATTAAATTCCAGCACGGAACAACTCTTTGTATGATACACAAATTGTTGTTTCGGGTCTAGGTGTTATGTGTATGTGAACTTGTATGTTTGCAAACGCACCCACGATACAGAAGAAAACTATAGTGTGGGGCAACGTCAAAAAAACAAAAAAATTGGCACTACCCATGGACACCCTAAACACCTGTGGCGAGTTACAAGTCCGTTTCCGGCCTTTTGGGGGTTAGGAGTTTGAGGGTTGTTGGGGATACAGAGATCGGGGAGATTGGGGAGGGAGGTAATTGGGCCTCTAATAACTTCAATCACACAACGAAACAACGCAAGCATTGATTTACGTCGGTTTTCTGTGAGGCTGTGTAGTATTACTCCGGTCAAGACAATCCATTCCTGCCGAAGCATGGCTCTCCCACACTTAAAACGTATAGTAAGATTCTACAATAAGTACAATGGCTGAGGAACTGACAAACGAAATGACACCTTATGTGACCCACAATTAATTGGTGAACTATATAAATGGGTCGGCCAATCAAATATAAAAAGTAAACTTTGTTGTCAGCTTGGCGAATACATGATGCATAATGATTACTGCCACGGTTACGAGCTGGTTGGAGTTAGTACAAACGTGTCCATGGCAATAGTGAAGAAAATGAACCCAATCATCATCCATAAGGCTGTGACGATGATTACTGTAAGTATATTTTGTTACTATCCGCCCTTAAATGTTATGTTTTTCGGCTTTCTCACATAATAGGATAGATGCCTAATTTTTATTTTAATGTCCGTCTGGTAGATTATTTTAAATCATTAAGCACGTATTTTTTTTTTTCTTACAGAAACGAATACTTTCGACGATACATTGATTTGAAATGTCGCGTGACGTCACTTCTATGTACATTTTATACGTAGAAATGACGTTTTAGCCCCCACTCCTAAACTTTGATTAGTTTTATCTAAGTATTGTTTTATTATACGACAAAATAAAATAAAAAATACGTGTCTAATATTTTTTCATTACATTACTTACGGACTAATTAGATTTTTAATTTTCATACCCTGTCATCATCCCAATTATTTGACAAGGATCTCGAGTAGGGATTCCCGAAGTATTCGCTAACCTAACGCACAAAAAATAAGGATCATCATCATCATAATGACTTGACATCATCATTTTGACTATACTACGGTTGCAACCGGCTGCCGCGAAACGTGACGCGAGTTCGATTCTGCACGGAACAACTCTTTGTGTGATCCACAGATTGTTGTTCCGGTTCTGAGTGTCATGTGTATGTGAACTTGTATGTTTGTAAACGCACCCACGACACAAGAGAAAATCCTAGTGTGGGAGCACCGTTTTTTTTAAACGAAAACGAAATACTAAAACTTAGTATCATCTACAAGACGTCTATAAAAATAGCCCTCCCCAAATGAAAGGTTTCCAGTTCAGAAGGTCGTGACCTGCCCAGTTGCGCAGTTTTGCCTGGGTTAAGTTTTATGGGTAGATGATGTATTTCTTTAAGGGGGGGAAATCATCGAATGGCTTCTCTCGCCCGGGTGAGGCGAGAGTGAGTGTCAGACTCTAACTGACTATAAACCACCCCATTCCTACTCCTGCATTTTGAGCCAGAGCCCCAGCAACCCGCTTATTCCTCAGCGGCTCCGTATGGATAAATGTTAAGTTCTATAAGATATGTAATTTTTATTCAATTTCTATTACAGGATGCATTAGGTCAAAGAATGAAGAAGATTCACCTCATAAGCGACTCCAAGTTCTTCGAGACCATCCTGATGATCTTCAAGCAGGCCCTCACAGCAAAACTGGCTAAAAGACTGATAGTTCATAACAGTTTGGAGTCGTTACATGAACATATAACTAGAGAACATTTGCCAAAAGACCTTGGAGGCGATGAGAAGACCATGAAAGAATTGGCTGGTAAGAAAATTTTAACTGTTCAGGGATATATTGAAAATATAGTGATATTATATGCCTCGTTGGCCGAGTGGTTGCGAGTGCGACTGCCGGGCAAGGAGTATCGGGTTTGATTCCCGGGTCAGGCAATGTACTAGTGAGTTTTTAAAACAGTCTCAGTAGTAGTACCGAGTTTGGATTTGTGCCCGGTATATGGCAATATGCTCACCCCCTATTACAGGCACTCATAACATAAATAGTGAAAAGTGGCTGTTACATTGTACAGTGGCATTAAGTGCCGTAATGTCCACCTCTGCCTATGCCTTCGGGGATAAAAGGCATGAATGTTATGTCATATATATCACCGCTTTATTTCGGATATTATGAACTTTAATTGTCATTGACTGTGGTATTGAAATTGATTGTTTTGAAAGTACAAGACTTACTTCTTCATACGAGGTCAACAAGGGACTTTGATTTGTGAAACTAGAAGTACCTACTTTCATTTCAATTTTTTTCCTAATAGGGTAATAGACTAAATTTTGTTTTTAATGTCCGTCTGGTATATTATTTAAAAACATTAGACAAATATTTTTTCTTTCCATACATAATTAACTACATTCGACGATAAATTGATTTCAAATATCGTGTGACGTGACGTAATGCCCTTCCCATCCTAAACTTAACTCCGTTTTATTAACCGACTTCAAAAAAGGAGGAGGTTATACGTTCGGCCGGTATGTTGCTTTTTTTTTAAGTATTGTTTTGACGACAAAATAAAAAAAAAATGTGTCTAATATTTTATCATTATCTTACTGACGGACTAATAATATTTTTAATTTTCATACACTGTCTACCGATAATGAAAAAATATTAGACAAGTATTTTTTTTATTTTCTCGTATTAATTTGCAATACTTAGACAAAATGGCGCTAAGTTTAGGAGTGGGAGGTTGTTACGACATAACGTGCTACAAAATATGACACGCTGTGACGTCACACGATATTTCAAATTAATATCGTCGAAAGTATTTAATTTTGTGAGAAAAGAAAAAATACGTGTCTAAAGTTTTAAATTAATGTACCAGACGGAGATTAAAATAAAATTTAGGAAGCTACCCTATTATCATTATTTATCTATTAAACTGTCAAACACCGCGCGGTCACCGGTGACCGCAACCTATTGTTCTTTAATTGTGTCTATAGTCTATACGGTACTCAACGAGTTAAACTTGATTTTCTTCTTTACAGAAATGGATTTCAAGGCAATAAGCTCAGATGAGCATATAGCAGCTGTGAAGAGGATGGAGACAGCTACCACAGATGAGTCCCTCCGACCGTGTGCCAAGTTTAACGAGGATTATTCTGGTACACCAGGGTCCTTCAAGACGTTATGTGTAGATTAAAATTAAGTATAGATTATTGTTGGTACTGGGAATGATAAAGCTGAAATATCTTTATATATATAATTCTGCTGTACCTGTGTATGTCATTGAACTCCTCCTAAACGGTTTGACCGATTTAAATGAATTTTTCTGTACACGTTTGAGTGGCACCCACCCAGTGGATGGTTTAGATTCACAAATCACCCTGATGGCGCTGCAGTTGATGTATAGGTTTTTTTATCCTAAACGGCTGAACTAATTTGAATGAATTTTGGTTTATACATGCAAGTGGATATGCAGGACAACGTCTGTCGGGTCCGCTAGTTTTATATAAAAAACAGCATTTATTATATAAACGGCACGGTTCATATCTGAATGTTATTCCAAAATCATTATTTGTATTTGAGGCTTGAAAAAGTATCTAACGAAATCTTAATGGCGCTGGCGCTAATTTCCCGCCTCGCACGCCGTGCGCCGTGCGCCGGTGCAGTGGGAGCCGCAAACAATCGCAACCGCCGCGGGCGTAAAACGCACCCTGAAAATTGCTTTGATTTTTTACATACATATCTGTATTCTATAAAGGCTGTGGGCCCGCAATCGCGACGGGCGCGGGAGAAAATCGCGCTGTGAGTCCTTCGCTTTACCGTCGCGTCGTCGCCCTCCGCGGCGATATGCGGTACTGTGTGTCAATCGCCTTAAACAGTACCTTTGATACAACTAACTAAAAGTCACTGTCAGTAAAGGTTACATAACTTTAAATCTCTAAAAAGTATTTAATGGATTATGAGGCTTAATGACATAAACAATTTGGATATATCCTATATTAAAACTGATGAAAACAAAACTTGATGTGTTTGTATTTATCCCTTCATACTTTTACCTGTTTTTGGAAGTCGTGAATTCTGTATTTTTTTATGCTAATAATTATCAATATTCTTGGGACACCATGGTCGGTCTTGCTGCAGAAATGCAGGCAGCATCAACGACATCATTCGTCGTGCTCTTGCCTCAGCCGCCGTACCAGCCGTATTAGAACTTAATGTTTTGGTACGTGATGACGGCAAGAGACCGGGTGGTATGTAGTTGCTGCCTTAGAAGACGTGTAGGCCTATGGTGTGAGAAAAAAGGCCCTTGGTGTGGGACGCGACGTGTGTAGACACCCTTTCGCCATCACATCTTCTAAGTATCGCTGCATTCGCTGGTGCGGCCGCTTTCGCGGCAGAGTCCCTTAAATTCTTTCCAGTTGTGTATATTTATTAATAATTATATTATTTAAGTTTCTTAATAAATTGTAAACAAATACAATATTAATATGTAATTGAACTAGCAACAACTGCAGCAGGATTGGGTTATTGTTTAAAATATTATAATACTATTGAAAAATTAAACTTTATTATCACACATACCTAATATACCAAGACAATCGTTAATATTTTTATTATTCTTTTGCATTAAAGCTTGCTGTTACATGCTTCGCTGTCGTGGTGGACCGGAGGTTAAGGTATCCACCTCTAGTGCATGAGGGTGCGGGTTCGAAAACCCGGCAAGTACAAATGACTTTTCCGAGTTATATGTACTTTCTAAGAGTATCTAGTAACAACGTGAGGAAACCTGGACTTAAAATATCTAATTATAAGTTTGAAATCGCCAACCCGCATTGAGCAAGCGTGGTGATTAATGTTCAAACTTTCTCCGTGTGAGAAGAGGCCTTTGGTCAGCAGTGGCCACTTATAAGCTGACGATTAACCGCTTGAATACACCGATATGAGACACAACATAAAATACATCGTGTATCGCGTGGATCTACGTTTAGACACACGACGGGTTAAACCTAAGTATACTACCTATTATTTATTTATTATTTTATTTTCAGCCATGATCATCCCACTGCAGGGCAATGGCCTCCCTACCCTCCTTCCACTCCTCTCTAAGTAACTAATTCTGTATAATTATAAGATTTTTCTGATGTAAGACAATGATAAAGATATAATTATTTATATAAACATGTATAGATAATATTATACTTTTAGCAATCAGGAGTGAAATTAATTAAAAAAAAACAATTTTATAGGAAACTAAACGTTTATTCTAACCTCTAAATATTTAAACTTTGATTTACACAATTTAATAAAGAAAACATAAAGTAATCACATCTACAAACAACCATTAATTTAAAGTAAATAATTATACGATAATAATGCACGATAACAAACAGCGCCGAACACCTGACAACCTTACCCTTCGAGAGCCAACGAGCAAAAGACCGAACTACCCCCACAACGCTCTATTTATAGATGGTGTCAGATGACGTCACTTGTTTACCACGGGCAGTTACGATTATCCTAATACGGCCTCTCCTGACCGTGCGCCGTCCTCGGGGCACATCGTCCATTGTTACGTTGTCACTCATTGTCAGGTACTGCAGGGGCCACGGAAGATGGACCAGCCTCATCGCCCTCACCATCTTCATTGTCAGTATCTTAAAGAAATAAGATTACAAACATATAAGTTGTTGTATACACATACAGATACTAAAAGAAAAACAACAATTATTCTTTCATCCATCTCGCATTTAAGGCCCTCATTCAATGAATCACTCTCCTAACCAGGTACATCCGTCTTCAAACCATATCAAGACACATTCGCTCGCACTATATAATTACGCATGAATCTGAAGGACACTTCAATATACGTTAAAAAAATGTCTGCAGGCCGGGTGCCTATACACATATCCAACATAATATGTGTCTGCAGGACGTAAAGTCCAATACACATACCAACATATGTGTCTGCAGGACATAAAGTCCAATACAATATCCAACATATGTGTCTGCAGGAATAAAGTCCAATACACATATCCAACATATGTGTCTGCAGGACATAAAGTCCAATACACATATCCAACATATGTGTCTGCAGGACATAAAGTCCAATACACATATCCAACATATGTGTCTGCAGGACATAAAGTCCAATACACATAACCAACATATGTGTCTGCAGGACATAAAGTCCAATACACATATCCAACATATGTGTCTGCAGGACATAAAGTCCAATACACATATCCAACATATGTGTCTGCAGGACATAAAGTCCAATTACATGTGAACTCAACAGTGCGTCTGTTCACCCAGCTCAAGATGCACGACCTGTTGAAGATTCTAACCACTCGGAAGTTGTTATCCATCTCACGTGCATACTCATCCGTAACAAGTTCACACCATATCTGCAACATAAAAGTACACTTACTTTCAAAGAAAGCTGAACAACTCTCGGGACACCACTCCCCTTTCCATGGCACCATATATTGCGCCGCAGCTTGGGTTGTTTTACCTCTGGCTCCACCCAACAGTTTTAGCTCATAGCGGTTGCTTGGCAGGACCTTGGTAACTTTATAGGGCCCTCGCATTCCGGAGTCCAGTTTACCAGTCGATTGCGAGTATTTAATAACAAACACAAGGTCGTCCGTCTTAAAAACTTTAGGAGGGTGTCGTTGGCGATTGGTGTGGGAATCTTGCTTATTTTGATTCTTGTCAAGCAATTCCTTTGCCCGGCTTCTGCAAATTTCCCTCCAGGCTTCACGGTTAGGGTTCGCGTTGTCGATTGCCACGTCGCGGACCAGCGCACGGATAACGGGAGTAGTCGCGTCAGTACCAATCAGTAAGTTTAGTGCTGACATTTGTGTGGTTTTTTGTTTAGTGATATTTAATACAAGCTGAATTTTCCAAAGTGAATCTGACCAAATTACATTTTTATTACGACTTTCTACACGAATAAGATTTAATACAGTCCGCACATATCGCTCTGCCTGCCCGTTTGCATGATGCATTTCGGGAGTTATGTGGTGGATGTCACAACCTAAATCTGATATCCAGCTGGTGAAGCCAGCTGCTTCGAACATACGACCTCGGTCACAAACAATTAATTTAGGTACTCCAAACAAAGAAATTGCATTATTAAAAACACGCTTAAGTTCACTAGAATCTTGTCGGTATATGGGATATAGTAAACAGAATTTTGTAAATGCATCTACTAGTACAAAAACGAACTTGTAACCGTTTGATTCCGGTAAAGGGCCTAAGGCGTCAACATGAATAATGTTAAAAGGAACTTCAGGTTTTACCCATGACGTAATAGGTTGAGGGGGTGCCCTAGGCACTCGTTTTTTTGAGATACAAATGAGGCAATGTGAGGTGTATTTTAAAACAAAGTTTTTCAGGCCTGGGAACCAGAAATGCTTTAGTATAAGGTCTAAAGTTTTATCTGCACCGATATGCTCGTGCTCGTCGTGAAATAGTCGCAATAAACTAAGTCGGTGTCCTTTGGGTACATAGCACAACAATCTCGATTCTTCGCCGACTGGCGAGTAACGATAATAGAGTAAATCATTTTGACTTACATAACGACGTGAATCTAATCGACCATCTCTTAATTTTTGCATAAGGTCTTGTGTTTCGTTGTCGGCAGCTTGCGCCATTTGGGCCCAGTTTAACGGTCTATCAATCTGGTTCACCAGCGCAACTGGTGGATTTCTGCTGAGGTAGTCAGCGTGAGACATCATGACTCCTTTTCGATATTCAATCGTGAAATTGAAGTCCTGCAAGTAAATCCACCAGCGCGCTACGCGTGGAAGCAAGTCCTTCTTCCGCTCAGTAGCTTTCAGGGCGTTGCAGTCGGTTATAATTACAAAGTTTATGCCAATTAGGTAATGCCTAAAATGCTGCAATGCCCTGACCACCGCCAGCGTCTCCAGCTCATAGGAGTGGTACCTGCTTTCAGCGCCTTGGGTGACCTTACTGAAATAGGCAACTACCCGCTTATTACCATCGCTATGGATTTGCATGAGTACCGCCCCATATCCTGCACTACTTGCGTCTGTGTGCAATTCCGTTGTCAAACTAGGGTCAAAAATTGCAAGTATTGGTTCACTGGTCAACTGCTCAATAAGGTATAGGCGAACCTGTTCTTGTTCAGGCCCCCATTCAAATTTGACATTCTTTTTCGTTAACCGTGAAATG